CGGCGGGGCGCTCGGCGCGGCGTGGGGTGGGTGCCGAGAGTGATTTTCATCGTGGCGCTCGTCGAGGCGTTCGCGGCGTGGAACGGGCGGCGGGGGGACGGGACGAAGATGGCGGTCGAGGCGCCCGAGGCGGTGGACGCGCGAGACGGTGGTCGTCGCGCGCGCGTCGCCGAGGTCGAGGGGGCGCGAGCGGCGCTCAGAGAGGTGCGAGCGAAGACGGACGCGGCGACGCGAGAGGCGAGCGAGACCATACGGGCGTTGCGGGAGGAGCTTTTAGCGATGGACGTCGGGAAGAGGTTCGGGAAGGCGCGCGATGGGTTAGAGACGCCGGAGGTGGATGAATTGAACTCGCGCGTCGGGGACGTGCCGGAGTTAGAAACGCCTGAGTTGGAGAGGGTTAACGCGGCGCCAGAGGAGAAGGCGACGACGAAGGTTTCGTCGGAAGTTTCATCATCAGAGGTCGTCGGCCCATCGAAGAAGGAGCGTTCCGTGGAGGATGAGTTGATGACCGTGCGAGGAGCGCCGCACCCGGTGATGAAGGCGCCTACTTCGTTGAACGGTAAACCCGCGCTCGATCCAAATCGTATTCGCACGATATCGTTAAACGCCCCGCGAGCGTTTCTGTACGAGAATTTCTTGAGCGAAAAGGAGTGTGAACATTTGTTAGCGCTCTCCAAGGGCAAGTTGCACAAGTCGGGTGTGGTGGACGCGCAGACTGGGGGGTCAAGTCTGAGCGAAGTACGTACGTCGACTGGGACGTTCATCTCTCGCAAGTACGACGACATCATCGCCGGAGTGGAGGAACGTATCGAACTCTGGTCGCAAATCCCGCAGAGTCATCACGAGGCATTTCAAATCCTTCGATACGAGCCGGGTCAGGAGTATAAGGCGCACTTTGATTACTTTTTCCACAAGAGCGGGATGCGCAACAATCGCATAGCCACCGTATTGCTCTATCTCTCCGACGTCGAGGAGGGCGGGGAAACGGTTTTCCCGAACACGGACGTCCCGACATCGCGAAATCGCTCGATGTATTCTGAATGTGGGAACGGGGGCAAGGCGTTGAAGGCTCGGAAGGGCGACGCGCTATTGTTCTGGAGCATGAAGCCGGGAGGTGAGCTCGACGCCGGGAGCTCGCACGCGGGGTGTCCCGTGATCAAGGGTGAGAAGTGGACCGCGACGAAGTGGATGCATGTGAATCCGCTCGCAGGACCGAACGATGACGCGCACAACGTCTTTTACGATGGCGGTCCGCGATCGACGGCAAGCTGCTCCGACGCCCAAGCCGAATGTCGCGGTTGGGCCGAGTCGGGGGAGTGCGACAAGAACCCGGGGTTCATGCGCGAATCGTGTAAGATGTCGTGTAGGGTATGCGTTGGGGATTGGCGAGATGGGAGTTACGTCAAGCCCGAGGAGGTCAAGTCGGAGACAGCTTCGACGTAGAAGAGGAGGAGTCGAATTGGAGCGAGGAGGTTGAAAAAATCAGCAAAATTAGGAAAAATGATATTCAAGTCCGCGCTCGTCTTCACGTTACGAAATCTTTTCCCCTTTTTTCGTTGTATTCGCATTCGCGCTCGAATTCCGGCGTCTAGCGACGAGCCACACGTTGAAGCCCAACAGAAACGCCTGCGCTCCCAAGACTTCGAACCGCTCGAGCGCTTTATCGTTCGACGTCAACGCCACGAGCCGCACGAACAACATCGGTTGCCACACGAACCTCACCGGTACCAACGTCGTGAGGTACATAAGATTCCAAAACGCGTTCGCGCGACTTCCCCGCGGCGACCGTCTTCGCAATATCAACAGCAACGTGTTCGCCTCAACCAACCCGTTTCGACACGTCTCCATCGCCCGCTCCGGTCGTCTCAGCACGTGTGCGAGCAAAACGGACGTCACTGCGTGATGAATCAACACCAATCGAGCCCCACCGG